AGAGAGAGAGAGAGAGAGAGAGAGAGAGAGAGAGAGAGAGAGAGAGAATGAGTGTATTGGATCCGAGAGCTAGTTCGGTGTGTGGTCAATTGATTAAATGATAAAATTTGATTTACCCATTCTTTAACTAAACATGAAGTGTAACACCAATTTGACTATTTTGAGAAACAGGCATTCGATGGGAGCCAACAAAACATCGCATATCTCTAGCGCGTATCTGTGTATATCGTTTCTCGCATTTGACAGCTGTACGCACAAAGAAACATCCGATGTTTTCATCGTCCCATGCGTATTTCTCTCGTCTGTTTCTTTGCACGCTCTCTCTCTCTCTCTGTCTGTATCTCTGCCTCTCATTCTTTCTCTTGTCCACTCTTTCGTTTGACACACCATATTCGACCGGCTTATTCGATGTTTCGTTGTTTACTCACAAAATAAACGAGAATCATTCGATTTGGCGTGTAAACGATACACACATTTGGTTGGCATTAGGTAGAATGAAGAATCGTACGATTCTACGTGTATGGTGAATTAAGTCAAAAATATCGCATGAATCATACACGACGCTCTCTATTTGACGTAAATGCAGCGGAGGTCGAGCGAATAAGCGCGGACGCGCACACACGAAAAACAAGCAAAATTTTACGAAAAATTTCGAAAAGCGTCATTTCAGTACTACTCGTTCATTCATTCAATAAAGTTATCGTGTTGCCGTAGCTCGTATTTTTTAATCATTTGCGCAAAGATAAGAGACACTTTCGTAGCTTCAACCTGTGTGTAATTGTTAAGACTTTGTTTTGAGCTTGGTTAAGTATAACAAAGAAAGTCAGACTACTCACACGTAAGAAACGAATAGCAGCAACGTGCACACTTCATCCACATAGCATACGGTCATCGTGGCATGATTCAGAAGCCCCAACGTCAACAACATTCATACAACGAACGAACGAACGTGCAACTAGTGTTTTCAGTGCAATTTATGTTTATAGTTCATTTATAAAATAAAACACATTTCTCGTGTACGTACATATTTTTCCGCTGTTTTTAGTGAGTCTATTAATATACCGTGTCACAATTCAATTGAAATCTATCAAATTTCACGCTGTGTATCAATTGACTTACTTATTACAGACCATGTGCTAAAAATAGCCATTTATTGTGTCTACGCCAATTTTATTTTCCTTTCAGTTTGCTCATTTTCTGCCGTCTTCTTTCCATTCACAAGAAATCGATCGGTTTCAATAATTCCATCAATTTGAATTGAATCGATTGATTTGCCGATGTTCATGTGATTTCCTCAATTGAACCGTAAACAGTGTGTGAAAACGTTTTTGAATTTTAATTCAATAAAAAAAGAAGAAGTATCAAAGAGACAAAATGAATGATAATGGACGCGGCCAGCTTCTTATACACAAATCGAATGGCGTATACACACCAACCACTGAGCCACGGGTAAGTTTAATTGACACACGCAACTCATGTATTATGCTTATTTCGAATTGCTCCAATTTTATAGGCCAAATTCAATTGAATTTTTGTTCACAAATTCATCATAATTTGAACTGTACAATGTATTCAAAAATCAAAGCACCATTTTTGTGAGTTGTTGTTTTTATTGATTCACGGAAACACATTTTAATTAATTGAGTTGCGATTGACCTTATCATAACGGACCGATTTGGCAACACATTTATCAATGATTATTGGATTTCAAGGGTTTTTTTTATAGCTTGCAAATTGATCAATTATCACGATTCTACCGTGTATGTTTGCTAAGATAATGACGAACATTTATTGTTTATTTGAAAATAAAACCGTTTATTTGTTTTTTTTTTTTTATTTGTTATCAGTACGAAGACTTTGATATCAAGACTAATTGAATATTATTTGGATTTTTCGCGAATGACCAGCCAAGTTTCAGAATTGAAATTTCGAATAAACGTTTCCTTTTGAGAGCGATACATGATTGAATTAAAAAAAATTGGTGTAAAAAAATTCAAAGAATAAAAATGTGTCGCACATACATGTTGCAGGGACTTTTTCAATCAAATACCGTAGCTCAATTCTTTCAACGGATTTAAATTCAATTTTTTTTTTCTCAAAATTTTAAAAAGTAAACAGTCGATTTTAACAAAATTTACCACAATAATGTGCCGATGAAAATTTGATGACTTGAGTCTGTATACAAAAATCTGGGTATTTATTTTATAAAGAGAAACCGATGTTTTATACGAGAAGTAACAGCAAGTTTAAGAGACGTAGCATCGGTCGAAATTGTTAATGCCAAAGAGAATTTAAAATGAATACGAAAAGAACGAGTCCCTGAGCCACTTCCGTCAGTGATTTTGCAAGAGTATCAAACTCAAAGCCATTGACTTTATTCAGCATCAATTAGCTTAAATGACATATTAAATTGAAACAGATCAAGCACGAGCTTAATGATCTTGTGTCACATCGAATTTACTAAAAATACCGTCAAATCATGTGATGTGATACACTGATTTTTGCCAAGTGTTAATACTTTTTCAAGCATCACGCATTAGAACGAGAATACAAACTAGTTATTTCTATGAGTCTTCGGTTTATTTGGTTGTTTACAAAATACCGAAAAAAGTCGTTCACGTCAATATTTTGTGGCCAACATTTTATATGTCAAAATTAGCATTGAATCAATAATTGTTATTGCCAAAAGTAATTTCTGAATGAACAGCAGTTGAAGAGAAGCAGAGTCGAGGAAGCCGTATTTATCACATGAATGTATTCAGCGTGATGAGTTTATGCCGTAGCAAAGCCTGAAATAGTAACAAAAATATCTGCTGAAATGACAATAATGGAAAACAAATAGAAGAACGGTGACTGTGTTTGCTGACTAATCTAGACAATCTAAACCATCGAAAAATTACAAATGGGAAGTGAACTCTGGAAATTTCTTGAATATATAAATTAAACACTTACACATTAAATGACTCATTATTACTAAAATTCACATGAGATATTTTTTCGTTTTTGTTCTAATGAAAATTATCCAGTATCAAATGAAGAACGAACAATTGGTGAATGGTCAGGTGTTTGCCATGTCATATATTGTCCATGTGTTCCCAGATTCAAAGAAATTGTCATGTGATCATTATCATGGTAGCAAATCTACTTTCATTATATGTGATGCACATTGACACCAAGCAATTGAAAATGAACATTGAAAGTGAATTGTTGTGAATCACAACGGAATTCGATTCATTTCGAATGACATTATTATGCTTTACTGCATACGATTCGCAATGAATACTATGATATCAACTCCAATAGCACATTCAGAAATTGTTCACCTGATTGTTCACACACTACACATGTTTGAGCTAATGATATTTTTTTCAATTGATAATTGAAGTTCGTATGAACGTCACCTGATCGCTTGTTTACAGTATAACCAAAAGTGGTTTCATCGATTCAATGTTATCAGGAATGGTTTTCCTTCAAAATATTTGCCTGTGTATTCTTTTGTATTGTTGTCAATACTTGAAATTACTGCTTTTAATTGATCATTACGTATTTCTTGGAGTGCTTATTGTTTCTGAGTGGCTAACAATATTGATCCATTTGAATTACTTTCTAATTGGCTGTTTCACGTCTTGTTTAATCGAAAAATGTTTGCTTTAATATCCATTCCGAATTTTCGACACAAACATAAGTCATATTGGTTGACAAAATATCAATTGATCCGAAAAACACAAAGAATTCGACCTTTTATTCGCTGAATAAAATGCTATTCGCCTAGTTGAAATCATTTTTGCAACGTTTTTTTCGTTTAAAAAAACATTCACCACGGTGCGTGCTTGACAAACATGGGGGTACTAATTGATAATTGTAGCATGTGAAACAAAACGATGAAGCGCCGATAAAATTACACAGAAATATTTTGTTTTTTTTTTTTGAAATATGTGGAGGAGAGTGTTTCGTATGTAACCGAATGAATATTAGTATTCTGAGCCACGTCAGCGCCACTTCTATCAAAACAACGATAGTCGATGCATATCAATGTAAAATCATTTGAATTTTAAATTATGGTTCACACACAAATATCACTCCGCAGAGCCATGATAATGCATCGCAATTAAATGCGATCGACATAAAAACGTTGTGATTCACTTCATCAAAGAAGGAAGGACGATGACGCGAAACCGTTTAAATTGTAGCTCAATGAATAGAACACACAAACAAACACATTAAGAAAAAGTAAAAAAAAAAATGATATGCAACTAATATGAAATGACCCACAGGAGCTGTATGTGACACTGTGGGCGTTTCGTGTATATATATATATATATATATATATATCAACTGATGGTCGGTTATCACAACTCCATCCGTTTACTATCGCGTAGGGAAAAAAAAGCGAGATCTCTGTTTTTCTTCGCGTCAATCCAAATATGTATATAATTTGACGTGTGTATGAATGAAAAGTATTAGCCAGAGCGAAATTGATTGTGATAACGTGCAAATAACAAATATATGTATTATTGAAAGAAAGAAAAAAACAACAACAGAAGACGCAGCTTTACATTGCTCTCCATATGTGGCCGTTTCAATAGACGATTGTATCATCTGGTTTTTTTTTCTTTCTTGCGTATATTCTTTTTATCAAGCTCAAGTTGACAATCACATAAGAATTGCAAGAGAAAAAATCGGCGTCCGTTCAGTCAGTTACTGTTTCGATCGCACGCCATTCAAACCGAATTATAGTTTCCAGCCAAATTTTATTTCTTCATTTTTGATCGTGTTTTCGGTTCTTTTTATTTTGGCTGCCTCAGCAAAGTATCGTTTTACTAAATTTTGACCACTTTTATTTACATAATTTTATGGAATTCATCACACAGTCAGCGTTGATTTCGTATTAGTGCACTCTCTATTTTTAGTTTGTTTTTATTTTATGCTTACAAAAAAGAACACTCACCCATTTTGAAGAGAATGTAAAAATTCTATTTGGGTGTGTATGTTTGTATTTTTTTAACGAGCTGATCAATCAACTCCGTGAGCATAAATATTCAGTCAAGGAAAAACACCACGCGAAATGGTTGCTCACGAATTTATCGAAGAGAAAAATAATGCAGCGCAGGTTCGTTTCGATAGAGATATCATTGAACTTGACTTGTTTAGCCATTGAATATTTTGTGATTTTTAGCGTCGGAAATTTATACGATCATAGTGATCTACTATTTCTTTTTAAATGTTTTTGAAATACAAATGCAGTTTTTGGTTATGGATTTTTCGCGACTAAACTTCTATTTGATAACATTTTTATTTTTCTGTAAATTGAATTTCAACCCTCTAGTGCATTAATTTTTCCCAAGGCTTTTTTTCGCAGGAAGCGTGATAGACATAAATCAAACAAAGGTTTAGGTTATACAGACATTCGAATGTTTCCCGCCGAAAGGCGGTTGTATGCACTAGAGGGTTAATATCGAAATGCTTTGACTTCTCTAAAAATTCAAATGTTCCGAATTTCATAATCAATTATAATTCTCATTGATGTTGGCTGTTTTCAGGCTCCAAAATGGGGACTATTGCTGATGGTAACTACGTTCGCCATGACGATTGGAACTGGTATTCCAGGTAATTTATTCATATCTTAACTTTTTCGCCAACAAAAAAATTCATCGATTCAAGGAGTTTGATTTGTTTTGATTGTAAAAATGCTACTTGTGTCTGTTGTGCGTATTAGAAAAACAACATATTTTCTATTACGTCAAAAAGATACACTCGAAAAATTCATTGCAATCGAAAACACTTATCGAATTTACTTTTTCGTATAGTCGGATACAACATTGGCGTAATGAATTCCCCATCTAGTTTTATGAAAAAATGGTGTAATCAAACTATAATTCAACGATATGATAAGTATTTAAGTGTTGACCAGTTGGAAACGCTATGGTCGACGATCATTTCGATATTTTTGGTTGGCGGTTGTGTTGGATCACTATTCGCCGCTTCACTAGCTGATAGATTTGGCCGGTTCGTATAACATACAAAGTTATGATAGAATAATAATCATGAGTTAATATCATATACTTTAAATCGTTTTGCTGTTTAGGAAAGGGGCACTGCTGACTTGCGCAATTTTGTTTGCGATCGGTGCGGTATTGTTCGGCTTTTGTCGTGCATTGTCGTCCGTTGAAGTGTTGATCGTGGGAAGATTTATCGTCGGCTTATCATCCGGTGTGACAACGGCCGTGCTTGGAATGTACTTAGGTGAAATTGCACCGTCTGAACTACGCGGAACATTGGGCACATTCTCTGGATTAGGTGAGTATTTGATAATCCGATTGATGCAACACATTCCATTGCGCTTTTTAAATACTCGTGCTGTTTTTCTGTCTCATTAAAATGTCATAATCATTAGCATTTGAATCAAATCCATCGCCAAATGCATTTTGAATAAACAAAACCACCGTTTTTCGTCAAATTCCGAGAAAATATTGCTATGAATACATTTTCTGCGATAGACTCTTAAATATTTCATTGCGATTAAATCGCCAAATTTTAAGCAGCGAATTCACTGAACTAATTCCAATGTCACTTTGATTACCTATCAAGTTGATACTGGTATCATATTGCCCAATCATTGGCATCGTATCAACCATTGACGCATGAATCACAAACGTAAAAAAGTTCAAATCATAACCAGAATAAACAAATTGCGTTACTGATAGCAGATTTTAAATTACCATATGGAATTTAAAAGAGAACCGGTGGCGCTTTACGTTCGAAATGTATGTGGTCATGGAAAATTTTGCGTTTGAATATGCAAAAAATATTGTTTTGAGTTCAATGTATTCAAAAAAAAAATCGCAATCGCCGACTCGAAAGCAATTAAGACGCACGGAAGTCAATAAAGTGGGCTTCTTTTTTGCTGATAATCGAAATGATATTATCCACTATCACGTTCAGCTGTAGTAAAATGTTATATTGACTGCATACGTCGAAGTGCAAACAAAATGCCAGGAATATGGTGCTGTCATATAAATTATTTAATTGCCCATTCTAATTGATTTTTGTAATTATTTGGCATGGAATCTCAAAACAATATTTTTTATAATTCATTTTAAATTTATTAATCAAAAAATCCATTTAAACCATGATAATTATTTGCTGACGAAGTGATTTTGCATTTTCATCATCTATGCTGTTGAACACAATTGCTGTCCATTTGTGATTGACCGTATTGATTATATTGGAATTGATTGTTGAATTATCTGTTTTGGTTGTCATCGCGGTATCATTTTGTATTTGCGATTGCCTGAATTTGTTTTGGAAACAGCACCCGTATCAAAAATACTATAACATTATCGTTTGTGCTTTCTCAATGACAAATATGACCGAAAAACGAAAAAACCAAAATAAAAAATCAAACCAGAAATATCATCACAAACCATCGAATATCAAGAACACATTTCTACATGGAATGATTTCAATCAAAAGTCATCATTTCGATTCCCGTATGTTGTCCCGACCATTTGATATGGTTCTTGTTGTTGTCATTGACTGACATACGAAATAGACAATTACGCCCGGAAATTTAATACAAAATCCGTTCCATTTTTCTAGGTGTAACTGCTGGTGTGGTCGTCGCTCAAGTTGCAAGTTTGCAAGAACTACTCGGCACGGACGAATTGTGGCATTATGCGCTTAGTTTTTATATTGTACTGGTTATTGTTTGTTTCCTGCCGTTTAAATGGTTCCCCGAGAGTCCAAAGTACTTGTTTGTTGTCGCTGGCAAACGTGATGTAGCACGAAATGGTAAGCTATATTTATACACTATTTTGTATGAAAATTCTACACTGAGGATATTCTCTCTGCTTATAATTGAAATTCCGTCAAATTTTCAGAATCAGAATTCGTTTAAAAGAGGTGAACGAAAAAAAAAAATTGTTGAAAAAAATAATTGAAAAAGTAACTTTTTTTTCATCAAAAATTGACTAAATCCAGAAATGGCCGTTAAATCTTTGTAAAATCGAATGTAATCGGTTGATCTTTCTATTATTGCAGAACTGATGCGGTTGCGTGTGGGTGAAGGAAGCGACGATTTACTTAACCGTATCAATGCTGAACTGATAGCAATGGAACAAGAAGCGGCCACACAAGCTGACACCCGTTCAATTTGGTCGGTACTGACTGATAGCACCCTTTTTTTGCCGCTCGTGTTGATTTGTGCCTTGATGGGTGGTCAGCAATTGTCCGGTGTCAATGCTGTATTCTACTATTCCGTCGATATTTTCGAAAAAGTCGGCTTAAGTGAAGTGAATGCAAAATGGGCCAATTTAGGTGCTGGCATTTTGAATCTAATGGTGGCATTCACTGGGCCAAAAGTCATGGAGAAAATCAATCGTCGTACAGTTATCATTATTTCATGTTTGCTCAGTGGCGTTTTCTTGGTGATGCTTTCAATTGTTATGAAATACGTTGATGTCATCTCATGGTTCCCAGTGGCATGTGTATTATCGGTCTTTGGATACATTATCGCCTATCAATTTGGCCTCGGTCCAATACCGTTTTTCATCGGAACGGAACTGTTCGAGATTTCAACACGACCAGGTGCTATGTCGATCGGGTCACTAGCATCATGGGCTGGTAACTTTTGCATCGGCATGACATTTTTGCCCATGAACAATGCCATCGGTGCCTTTGTATTCCTGCCATTCGCAGTAGTTTGCTTCCTATTAGTTGCCTTAATGTACGTTTATCTACCAGAAACAAGAGGCCGCGAAGCAGCCGATATTGCGCCTATCGTTTCAAGAGGATTTCGGTCGAGACGCTTTTAATTCCGATAAAACGATTGAAATTGTTCGATGATTTGCACAAATCATTCTTATCATAATTCGCCTATTTGTATTGAGATATAGACTATATTTTACCAAATTCAGCATTTTTCGAAAATGTTGTAAACATTGACAATAAGATTTAATATTAAAGTTAAAGTTATAAATTAACAAACAAGATTAAAATTTATTGGTTTTATTTTTATTCTTAGAGAATCAATTGTTCGTATTCATGCGTACATTTTCAATGTGATGAGAAGGTATTCGTATTCTTTTTTGGTAAAAAGTGTGGAGATTTTAAAAATATCATGAAATTTTTCTTAATAATCGACTAGCATTCCGTTTGCAACTTGTTTGGCTTTGTCAGCTCCAACGAGTACTTCGGCGATTTTCAATCCAAATTGGTATGCAGTGCCCGGACCGCGCGATGTTATCAATTTATCGTCTTGAACAACAATTTGATCATCGACATACTTGAAATCTGATGTAAGCTTATCCTTAACCGATGGATATGAAGTGATCGATTTGCCGAGACCAATTTTGTGTGCAGACAATGCCAACGGTGCTGCACAGATGGCAGCAATCAAACGACCGCTAGATTCTTGTGCCTTGAGTACTTCACCAACTAACGGTGAGTTAACAAATGCATCGGTACCACCCAATCCACCCGGGAGGATTACAACATCAAACACATCCTGCAATCAATGACCTTATTTATTTATGCCGGAAGAAGTTCAACGAAATTGTCGAATTTACCTTGGCAACATCTTGGAGGCTTTTGTCGGGCATTATCGTAACATCACGCGAACATTTTGTCGGTTCAGCGTTCGCAACACCGGCCACAGTCACGTTTACCTAAATCAAAAATAATTCAAAAACAGCGTAAACAGATAACGTTCACTTTTTTTTCTGAAATGAAGTTCTAAGTAGTACTAATTGCGATAAGGCCAAGGTCAGATGATTGACACTTATTTTTTTTTTTGCACACTAAGAATACTCACACCGGCACGACGTAATACATCGACTGTAATAACTATCTCCATCTCTTCGGTTCCATTTGCCAATAGTGCTAAAGCGCTTTTGTTTGCCATCTTCTGGAATAAAATGGTTGAATTTCAATGAATTCGATGAACGTTTTTTTTTAAAGGATCAAACCTTTGTTTGTGAAAAAGTCCGAACAGAATAAATTTGGCGGAGACTCTGTTTTAAGACAACACCGACGTATTTATGCAGCATTCAATTTGAATGCGTAGTTTTAAAATGGCTTATTGTGTAACTAATCAGCTGTTCGTATTCCGGCGAACCAGTCGGCTTTGAACTTGTTCACTCAACTGTCATTGATGATGTGGGGAGTTTTTGATGTTTTTTTTTGTAGCTGTTTCATCATTGAAATTGACTGGATTTTTTTAAAAAAGATTTCTCAAATTTTTTCCGTGAGTGTTTTTTTCAAATCCATTTAATTTCTTTCGTAAATAATATAAATAATCAATTCGAAACATTTTTATTTCAATTTCATATCAACACTACAACGAGTGGCAAATATAATATTTCACCACACTGAATGGTGGTGACATTCAGTTGATAACAAAAAGCTTGACAGTTTGTTTACATCAACACAGAAATATTTTCCATCGAAGTGCTACAGCAGATAAAATGATTTAAGTTGATTGAATTGCAATTGAAATCGATATTCCGGAAGAGATTTCAAAAGAGCTGCGATTAAAATGAGTAAAATCGAACTGTCGAATATAGTGATTGAAGGCTTGAAAAGCCTAAATACCGTGATAAGTTCGGATTTAACCAAGAAAATCATATCGAATGCAGTAAAAATGGCCTTGCATTCGGATGCAAGTAAGACTCATCCACTCTGTTTACATTGAAATAATTTTTGAAAAAGAAATTCTCCTCATTTATTAAAATTGTCCGATAAAATGCGTCCATTTTCCACAGACATTCCATCGAATCCCGAAATCTATGCAACAACACCAGTCTACACAAAGCAGGCGGAATATGCGGTGTTGACGTTGATGTTCTTGGCAATCAAATACGACTTGGATAATGCGAAATTAAGAGAATTGCTTGAAGAGCACGGCATATCAGATGTGGCAACCGAAGAGTTGATCTCCGTATACGAAAAGAATCAAACATCGTTGCGAATACAAAATTTGACGACGGGATTAAGTGTGCCGCACGTAACGAATGTCGAATGGAAACTGACTTGCGATGTGAAATCATCGCAAATCGATTCAACCACCGGTGCCTTGAATTTTCGCATCAATTTTGGGAGGTACAAAGAGCTGAGCGGTGAACGTGAAACAATTACCGAATTTGTGTGCAATGCCGAAGAACTACAATTCCTTATTGGACGTCTCAAAGAGATTGAACGGCATTGCGAACAAGTTGGAATGGCAAAATGAGCATATATTCCAGCATTTTGTGGCCAACATCTAACGTATTATAGTGTAATATGCGGTCAAAGCATTATGATTCCATGTTAAAAAAAAACATTCTTGCAATCAAACAAAACTCATAGCAAATAAATACACTCGAATATTCATTATGGGCAACCGTTTTTCCACAACAGTTGACTCACTGTTTGAATGCCTGTTAAGTGGTGATTGTTTGATTTTTATTTCAATGGAACAACGACCATTTTTTTCAAGTTTTCAATGCAATTTAACAAATGAAGCTCAAGTGATTGCTTTTCAAAAATACCTAATTTCTCCACAAGTAAAATAAGTACAATCGATTTAGTTCGGTTGAACACCCATTACGAACAACTCTTCGTAATTTCGAATATGCATCCCGCCAAGCGCGTAAGAAAAGACGAACAGACTTCGTTTTCCGCAAAGCTAGCACATCGTATTCTTCGCATGAATGTATTCGGCGTGAATATATGCCGCAGCAAAGCCTGTACTAAAATACCTTTACTAAATTTTATTACAGCTTATTTCTGACGTATATGAATCTCACCACAGGTATATGTGTGGTGTATACATCTGATGTAAAAAAGTCTAATAAAGAAATTCATTTATTTTTGAGAACTCATTTACTAAGCCGATCGTTGTTTTTATCCTGACATTTTTCAAAGTTTTTACCTTTTTTGTGATACCTTCAGAGATTTAATGCAACTATTTTAAATAATTATCGCATCATCGTATACAGTGACGATGTTTATACCTGTCTTATGATTGATTTTCTGATAATCGACGAGACGTTTAGAACGTTAGGGAATACTTTGAATTCGCTTTGCAATAAATCTGCACATTCTGTACCTAAAAACAACATTATAAACAGCTGACTAAATCAGCATTGTAAGCAGTTGTGTTTTGCACGTTACAGTGCATTTTACTCTGACAGTTTGTCGCACCCGGGCCACCGTATTCATTTAAAAGCGCAATCAAATATACCCACACTTTCTATACTTTAACTGCTAAAGTGTTCAAGAAAACTATTTCAGTTTTAGCATCGAAAAAGTGAGACGAACAACATACAAAGGTAGCAATATCAATGTGTATTTGAATCATTGGGTATGTCAAACTTATGGAATTGAGAAAAAAACATAACAAAATCAATCATTCTGCGTTGAAGCATCATTCGAAACAGAGGAATACTTTTTTCTGTTAATTTCTACTTTTTCATTCAGAATTTAATTTTGTTTTCACAGATTTTGATACTGATCAAGTAAAGTGATGAAGTTTGATGAGCTTTGCCCACTAGGTCAAATGACCAAATGAGCATTTATTCTAAATTCGTGGCTAAATAAATCCACGTATTATAATCAGTTGGGCAATAAAATTCAATTAGGCATTATAATTCCATGTAAGAAAGCGATGTAGCATATAAACGAAATTCCACTGCTCATAAAATCAAAATTAAAACTTATATTCACCATGAATTGGTATGCAGTCATAACGTCGCTAGCGTTTCGCTCACTGTATTTACATGTGTCAAGTGTTGTTGTCGTTGAACTGTCAAAATCTGATTCGTGCCCATGTTCACATGTGTTCTTTTTTATTCTCATTTAGATTTGTTAATATGGCTAAGCAGTAGGCATCATCGTTGCATAACATCGAAATTTACGCGACGGAAAAAAAACAACGATAAAATAAAATTCGTGTAAATTTTGGCCGTTATAATTGACCGATGTACATGTGTATTGTGTGATCAAGCTCAAATTCGAGGCAAGACAAACGCTGAAACTCGGTGATTTCACGTCTGAAACAAAACGAAAACATTTTCTTCACAACCGAAAAAGTGATCGAGTACAAAAATAAATAAAATGATTTCGATTATTACACGACGATTCGCTCCATTGGCGATGCCTGTTAAAATACGCGCCCAGCATATTGCCACAACAACGCTCCTGCAGAAAATCTTCACGGTACAAAGTGTTGAGGATTTTAATGAAAAAGTACGCAAAAGCAAGACACCGGTTGTTATTGACTTTTATGCAACGTAAGTGAAACAGTGATTTTGATGACGCTCGAGCAATTCGATAATAATTACCTTTTAATCTTTATTTCTGTCACTCAGCTGGTGCAATCCATGTAAAGCACTGATGCCACGCATTGAAACTGTCATCCAAGAGACCAACGGAGCTGTCGATTTGGCCAAAGTGAGTAATCTCCGCAGCTGTTCATTAGGTAGCAGCAGATAAAGGCGATCATATTCCAAGATTTAGGCAAATACGCGACACTTGAAGATTCTTCTATTTACATTTGGCTATCAAGCTTAGTCGTCTGTTAACATATTGTCTTTGATGTGCTATACTTTTGCGTTATCTTTTATTTTCTATCATTTTACGTAGTTTATTATTGTTTCCATTCACATTAGTCGCAAAACCTACAATGTGTTACCAATGAAATCTGTCTTGAATTTGCTTTGAAAAAACAATATCCCTTCAATTTCAATCAAGAAAGAAAATAAGTTTTTCGTTTCATGTTCATTCGTAGGTTGACATTGACGAGCTAACCGAAATCGCCGATGATTTTGATGTGTCTTCCGTGCCGGTGCTGGTCGTCATCAAAGATGGCAAAGTGGAAAAACGCATGGTCGGTCTTCAAGACACGGATAAAATCAGAAGCTGGGTCCAAAGTGCAGTTAAATAAGAAAAAAATAAGAATGCCGAATCGAACCGAACCAGAACCACATCCACAATTTTCGTTTATTATTATATTAAAAAAAAAGAAGAGGACACATTCTTCTGAAGAAAAGAACACATTCTTCGTCCTTAGAGAACAATCTAATCAAGGCAAACCAATAAGCGAGAGATTAAATTTTTTTATGATGTGAACGTATGTGAGTGTGTGTGTTGCAATACACGATAATCATAATTTTGTATAATTTATTTGATGAGTGCTGACTACTGATGCACAGATTTTTTTCTCGTCTGTAAGTGCAAGCAACAATAATAATTACTAATGAAATAAAAAGAAACACACAAACAAAAACACAAAACGATAAGATGAAACTGAAGTCAAATAGAAACGAATCTGATGTTATTACAAAAAAAAAAACAAAATTGAATTTTTTTTCTCTCCTCTTTGGACCAACTCACTACTCATCTTACCTTATTTTGCATGGCAATTGTTTTGAAAATTGTGTGATTGGGTTAGTGAGTGTGTGCACGATTGCTTGCTAAAAGAGAAATGTTGTAAAAGAAATAAACTGGTTTTTAGATGAAATGACAAACATTTTTATTATTGGCTTATTAGTTTGTCCATTGCATGTGTCCGTGAAAAAAAAATAGAAAATATCTATGAAAAAGCCGAATAAATTCTACTTGTTTGTATTTTGTTGACTGTATTATATGCTAAACGTACGGCGTTTGGTCAATTTTTGGTGCTGGTTCCTCTATTCTCTACTAATTTTTACAAAGTGTTTGCCAACCTTGGCAAATCATTTGTTTTCGGCATTTGCATCCGAATTCGAAGAATTGCTCAAACTGTCCCAATCATCGAAATCGATGTTTGAAATTCGTTTCAGAAAATTGGAACAATCTCCCGGATTCGAATAAACATTAATATTGTTTTTTGATAGTTGTGCACTGATATCGTCCCCGGCTTCATCCTCTTCATCTTTTGGTAGTAGACCGGTTTCCTCATCGAAATCAGGTAGTTCTGTGCGATCGATTACACCAGACGAAATCATTTGTCTGATTTCCCATCGCTCCGGACTTGAGATTTGTCTAACATTTTTGCGTGCGGTGTCTTCTTCGGCATCTTTGGTCGATTTCAAATGCATTAGTGAGGTGCCGGCCATTGGAGTGTCTGGATTTCCATTGCGCATTTCGTCATTCAAATGCGAATGTGATGATGGGTTCAAATCGGCACGCGTCTCTTGATCAACCTGACAAATTGGAGGCGATTGTCTCTGTTCAATGAGTGTGGGTTTAGTTTTCTTATGGAATGAAGACTTTTTGCCGCTAATCACATTAGCTGCTGGTTCTCGAGTGCCATCTGGAATAATAAAGACAAGTCGATTTGTTAATATCGTCAAAACGAAATGAATTTTCAATTGAAAATATTTACTGAAATGTTATTTTATCGCTTGTTTTGGCCAAAATTAACTTTCTTCATAGAAAAATTAATTCATATTCGAAAAATATTCAATTTCTTACCTTCTGGCAATGGATCGATCCCGTTTTTATTCAAACTCGTCGGAATGCTATTCAGATCTTGTTTACGCTGTAAAATTTGTTGTTGCTCCTGTTCTTTGGCCAGCACAGGCATCATATCAGCTTGAGCAAGTGAACCATCTGGATTTTTATCAATTGAAACGGGCAATAGATCATGCGATGCACCGAAATCCCGTTCACGTAGAAAATCTTGGACCATTTCAAAAAGATCGTCTTTATCGTCTTTATCTTTTGGTAGTAGCCCGGTTTCCTCATCGATACCATATGGTTCTATGCGATCGATTACACCAGACGAAGTCATTCGTTTGATTTCGCATCGCTCCGCAGATTCGCGTAAAATATTTTCGTGCCGTGTCTTCTTCCCCATCTTTGGCCGATCCCAATTGTAATAGTGAGGTGCCGGCCATTGAATTTCTATCGCGCATTCCGTTATTCAAGTGTGACTGTGATGCTGAATTCAAATCAGCACGACCCTTAGACCGTTGCTGTGAAATATAAACTAAACAATCGGACAATCGTGACATGACTTGTGCTTCGGCTGACGATCTCTGTATCGGTCACGCGATGTGGCTCGCCGATGTTCCTTTGATCTAGAGCATATGCGTCCGTCTTTTGATCGGCTTCTTCTTTTCTCTTTGCTTTGGGAAGGGTTGAGTCTCTCGATCTATTATATTCGGAAAAATTGGATTTGTTCAAATGATCAAATGAACGATTTGTACTGAAAGTGAATATAGTTAAACGAATAGTTTAAGTACCTTGAACGGGTTCTTTTATCTCTAAACTTCGATGATTCCTGTTGAATAATTTGCAGCAAATTCTCGATGATTGGATCGGAAAATTCGGCTCCTTTTTCGATGTGAGCTCTCTTAAGTGTATTGAATTCTGTATGTGTCTCAGCCAAATTGACGATGAATTTAGCTATATCATTTAAACTAAAATGTTTGCCCAATTCGGAGCCAATTTTTGACACCATCCATTGTGTACGTTTCAATTCGTTCTATTCAAATTCAGCAAATTATTTTTAAATGGGTTTAAATTTTTCAAAATATTTACACTTTTAATCGTTTGAGTTGTAGCGTTGACTTGATGTGCATCGTGTATAAGTTTGACAGCTGGTGTTTTTTTTATTTGACATTCAAAAAAGTGGATGAGTTCAATGCTTTCAACCTGTAGTTCACAGTTGAGTTGGAAAATCGGACGGCAAAACAAAGAAAATTTGTAGATATTTCAAGTAAAATGAAACCGGACTAATGTACGGATACTTTTTTCATATGTTTCTTCGTAAGCAATCACTTATTGACCTCAATTTGACAAGCAAATAGTCCATTGTCCACAGGTATACAGATCACCACTGCACACGAATTGATTTTCGACATTTAATCTTTGAAGAAAGGTGCCATTAAACATCTTTTGAAAGGAATAACCGTAGCAAGCCCAATGAAATCGGGTTTTGCATAAAGGTTTCCATTTTTTTAAAACTCAAATAGCTTGGAACACTCCAACAGACAATGATAGACATCGTGGCTCGGATTCGACAGATTGTTAGAGTAAAATACAACTTAACATGTGAAACACAACTACCTCCAATGCTGGTTTGTTTAGGTAAAAAATGTGCAGATTTATTGCTATGCCAATTAAAAGTAAAAGCTATTCCTTAACGTACTAAACGTCTCGTTAATTCGCATTTAATCTTTGAAGGTATCACAAAACAGTTGGAAACATGGAAGATTTTCAGCAGAAAAACAACGATAAGCTTGATCAAATCTGTCTGTTTACAGAAAATTTCGTTAGGTCGGCTTTTGAGGTAGAGCTCAAATCGTTATTGTACATTTTCAATTGGCAACAATGCGACATTAAAAGTCATGTGAAATATTTTCAATAAACATTTTGTCATTTTATTCTATGCAAAGACATTGTGTACTATTAATTTTTCGGAGCAATCTTGAAATCATCGCTTTTTCACCTCTGAAAATCTTCAAAGTTTAAACCTTTTTTGTCATACCTTCAGAGATTAAATGCGCAGTAGTCTGGGATTGATTTTCTGTTAATCGACGAGACGTTTAGAACATTAAGGAATACTTTGAATTCGCTTTGCAATAAATCTGCACATTCTGTACCTAAAAACAGCATTATAAACAACTGAACAAGTCAGCATTGAAGGCAGTTGTATTTTGCATGCTACATTACATTTCACTCTGACAATTTGAAGCATCATTCGAAACAGAGGAATACTTTTTTCTTTTAATTTCTACTCTTTAATTCAGAATTTAATTTTGTTTTCACAGGTTTTGATACTGATCAAGTGAAGTGATGAAGTTTGATGCGCTCAACTTTGACTGCCTCGAGTCTGTTCTCGAGTATTTGGAGCTGATAGATCTACTGAATGTGGCTGACTCAACGAAAAGACTGAAAAAAGCAGCGGAGCTCGTTTATGCTCGAAAATATGGAGATAAAGGCGTGTGGTTACGTAATATACGAATTTCTCCAGATCGATTATTCTTCATCAAAGACGCGTCAACAATGATTATAGAGGATTTGAAAACTGCTCTGAAGTTGTTGCGCTGTGTTGGGCGTGAGATTTCAAAATTAGTCATGATAATGCTGTTGCCGGGAGTTTTTAGTAAAGTAAACATCGACAAACTATCGAAAAGAGATCAGAGGCTTTTCACTTATATCAACGATTATTGTGCTGAATACGTGAAGAATATTATAATATATCCATCAGTTTGTTATGCAAGTACTCTTATGGAGCATTTTGATAAGCCTTTCCCCAACGTTCATAATTTTGAACACATTGACTATGATTTCACTGAGAAAGTTTCCCTTAATAGATTATTCCCCAAGTTGAATTCACTAGCATCTTGTCACACCAGAAACTCCTCATTTTTTAGTATCAACACAAACCATTTTCCTTATTTAGAACGCTTTGGTTTTCTTGAGTCTTCTAGTGAAGCTATGCCCGAAAATGAAATGCTACAAGCTTTTATACGGTTGAATCCACAATTAAAAGAACTTCAGCTTAGATCACTGGACTTTCTTTACAGCCATTTGAACACAGATTTGCTTCGGAATGCAGTTGAATGTTTGCAGAATATTGAATCTCTTGAGCTTGATATAAAACCAATCACATTTCTCACAGACAGTGACAATATTATACACATAAAAAGTGTGAAGAATTTTGCAATTAATTTCCATCAAATTTATGAATTGCCCGAATGTTTCGGATTAATTAATTATGATCCGAACATATGGAAAATTACCAGAAAAATATCGAAAATCAATCGAACTTATGGCTAAATTTCGGAAGCTGACAAAATTTGAATTTGTGTTAAAGGATGAATATGGTCACTTCCGCGAAAGACTAGGCTACGAATGGGAAAGCAAATATGATACGGCCCAGAAATTTGTCGAATTGAAACGCAGAACTTGAAGTAATTACGATGAAAATATCATAAATAGTTTTTTAAAATATGTTTCCAATTTTTACAATGCATACGTACAAAATAAAAAAAAAATCATGTCTTTTACCAAATAAAACTTTTATTGAAACTTATTTTATATTGTGGGTAGATATGATAAAACTGTTCGATCCGAATTTATGTCAAAATAAAAGCCCTACTTGAATGAATGACAAACATTGTTTTTTTTGTTTCGAAATTATCGTAAAATTCATTTCATTTGATCAGTTATAATTCGGAAAAAAATCGAAAATGTCTATAGAAAACCAACTAAGCCCTACTTGTTTGTGTTTTGTTTACTGTATTTAAATATGCTAAACGTAAGGCGTTTGTTCCGAGATCGTCGATGATTTTGATGTGTCTTCCGTGCCGGTGCTGGTCGTGATAAAAGATGGTAAAGTGGAAAAACGCATGGTCGGTATTCAAGACACGGATAAAATCAGAAGCTGCCCGGTTGAACGCGATACGCTTTGATGAAAGCCTACAGTCGTTCGATGAGGCTTTCATAATTTTTATATAGGGTAAGGTGGGGCTATTCGCGCCACTTTTTTTCACAATTTTATATTTCCATGAAAATTGAAAAAAAATCAGGAATGTTTGGTATCATTTTGTAGCTTGTCTTTTTACCTAACTTTTATAGAAGAAATGTTTTTGGTTTGATCCCCTTTGGGGTCCGATGTAGCCCTTGGGGCGAAATCCAAAAATGGTGGGGCTATTCGCGCCGGCCGCATTTTCAGTGTTTTAAATGTGTTTATCATCAGAAAAAGTGTTAGTGTTAGATTAGTACATCCTTCGCTGATGTTGTGTCAAAATTTCATGGAATTCGGACCGCTAGAAGCGAAGTTATTATGCCTAAAGTGACACTACCTTTTTTCATCTGTCGACAGGCGAGTTTTGGCCCAAAATTCGAAAAATTGACTTTGCGCCGATTTTTATTTATCTAAGAAGTAGTAAACGCATTGTCAAACCCATGGTACCGTTGGAAAGGTAATTGATGGGGCTACAAAAATACTTAGTCAATCACCCCCTCCGACCCCATTGAGGTCCCCAAAAAGACGTCGATTGCCCCTTGTGTTTGTGGCGCGAATAACCCCACAGCATGTATTGCTGTTTGAAGCTCGATTCAGCCACAAAAATTGAAAATATTCAAAAAAAGTTTATATCCATAAGAAAGAGCTGATGATAAGCTACAAAATACATCAACCCGTTTTAAAAAAATATTAAATTTTAATGGTCAAAGCTGAAATTCTGTGAGCTCGAAAAATGAACTCAGCACTAGCCCAAAACATGTTTGTGCCTTTACAGAGCCTGTACTCAAATGAAAAATATCGAATTGTATATCCAAATATCGGGAATTAATTGCTCTTCAAAATGACACTTGCACTTTTTGTATATGTATTGCCTGTGTCGAGAAAAGGCCGATGGCGCGAATAGCCCCACGGCGCGAATAGCCCCACCTTCCCCTACATTTTAAATACTGAACGCCTAGGCTTTCATTGCTATTCTCACTTCTTTCGTGCATTCGTAGCATTGAAAGTCTAGCGTGAAACATACTTCGTAGCGTGAAACATACACACGTACAACTGAACGCCTAGGCTTTCAATTCTAGAATGCACGAAAGAAGTGAGAATAGCAATGAAAGCCTAGGCGTTCAGTATTTAAAATGTATATAAAAATTATGAAAGCCTCATCGAACGACTGTAGGCTTTCTTCAAAGCGTATCGCGTTCACCCGGGTGGGTCCAAAGTGCAGTTAAATAAGAAAAAATAAGAATGCCGAATCGAACCGAACCAAAACCACATCCACAATTTTCGTTTATTATTAAATTAAAAGAGAAAAGAACAAATTCTTCTGAAGAAAACTTGTCCTTAGAGAACAATGCTAATCAAGGCAAACCAATAAGCGAGAGAGTAAATTTTTTTATGATGTGAACGTATGTGAGTGTGTGTCTGTTGATAATCATAATTTTGTATAATTTATTTGATGAGTGCTCACTACTGATGCACAGATTTTTTTCTCGTCTGTAAGTGCAAGCAACAATAATAATTACTAATGAAATAAAAAGAAACACACAAACAAAAACACAAAACGATAAGATGAAACTGAAGTCAAATAGAAACGAATCTGATGTTATTACAAAAAAAAAACAAAATTGAATTTTTTTTCTCTCCTCTTTGGACCAACTCACTACTCATCTTACCTTATTTTGCATGGCAATTGTTTTGAAAATTGTGTGATTGGGTTAGTGAGTGTGTGCACGATTGCTTGCTTGCGTGCATGTGAGAGAGTGATAGAGAAAGAAAGAGATGAGGCACAAATTAAAAGAGAAATGTTGTAAAAGAAATAAACTTGTTTTTAGATGAAATGACAAACATTTTTATTATTGGCTTAGTTTGTCCATTGCATGCGTGCGTGCGTGCGTGTGCGCTCGCGGTTAGTAGCGCAAGAGGTGTATGAAGATCACACACAGGCCCACTAAAAAACTGGTTTTATTTTTCGATTTATCGATTAAAAAAGAAATACGAAATGAGCGGCGGTACGCATAGCACACTAATCGATATCCATATATACATACAACAATGTATTTAGATTTATATTTTCTTGGATTTGCCGGCGGTAGACATAGATTTAGGTATATCAGATGAATTTAGCCGCGATTCAACAAACCTATAGAGACAAATTACATAAGATGTGTCAAACCTTACAAGAACTCGGTCGCAAACGATTACGCGCATGCAAATTTTTATCAATTACACAGACCCAACACACGCACACACACATAATTCCGTTGGAATGCTTTCTTCTCTTGTTGTCATTCAAGATAGAGAAAAAAGAAACGAAACAAACGAAAAATGCCATTTGAATCAATGGTCCACATATGATTTTTCCCCCTATATTTTGTGTCATCTACGCAAATTATAGATGCACCACTATCATCAGCGCTGTCAGATAAAACCGCACTCATATCACATTCATATGGCAACGCAGCGCTCTCGCACTGTTATCACCATACAATAGACAGAACGATTCAACCGTGGAATGCTTCGTATACTGATACATGTATTTGGTTGGAACTCGGTTGACCGAAGCGCCATCTGAAGAACCGATGGCGAATTCGTGATGTCTGTATGTTATACTTCAGTATGACGTTTGACAGAACGGAGAGTTTACTTGATTGTATTGTCATTAGCCTTAAATTATCTAGGTGGTGTTTGCGCTCAATATCAGTTGTCAAATTCAAAGTGAATAGGAGCGTTGGAACGATTAAATGATATATTCAAATGTGATGGTATTTTCATGGAAATTGACCACAATCGTCTCCGTTTCCATTTGATGTTAGTCTACCACAAAAAGGCAAATCATCTATTTGGCCACTCAGCCCCATATTCAATGGATTTGATTGAATTATGTGAGACTGATCTCTGAAAAATTGGATTAAGTTCATGTGAACACAGCGGACACAAGAGCGTGAGCATACGTCTTTCATGTAATATACGAAATGTTTCTCACACAATTTCTTGGCTCACTTTTACATCACCGAAAACGAAATTATATCGGAATGACTCAATTACAAAAAGATAAAGAGAAGAAAGTGATAGTGTGTCTGTTTGTTTTAAGCATTCTCCATTTCATTTCATGGCATTCCGGTCGGTGTGTGTGTGTGTGTGTGTGTGTATGAGCATGAGCATGAGCATGGCAGAAAGCTTAACGAAATATGGTGTATCAATAAGAAACGATTTATCTAATGAAATCATTTCATAATCTAATTTTTCATTCAGGTCTCTCCAACCATATTGACGGATTTACTTGCTCACGCGCGTGTATTTTTTTTTGTTTGATCGGATCGGTTCATGGTGTTCTCTCTATAATTCATATTTTGGACATGGTAGCCGATTGGTGTTTCTATCACCATTTTCGAATTGTGTGTTGCTTGTTCGTTCGTTGGTTCGTTGGCTGTTTTTGTCTTTCCTCATCATTAAATTCTTCATTGTTTGCTGTCATTTTTTCAAATTTAATTAATTAATTTGTCCAAATGCTTTGACAAGAATGTTGGTCGTGATTTCTGAAAATTCCTTTTTTAATCCAATGCTGCTTGCCAACCGTTTACCGTCTTTGCTTCCCTCTCTCTCTCTCTCTCTCTCTTCCTCTCCCTCTCTCTCTGCTTCGGTCTCTCCTTTTCGTTTCATGATTCTGAACACAACACGAGACGAAGGAGAGTGAAAAAAAAATCCCATGTGAATGAACTAAGTCGTTGCTAGGTACTTATGCCATCCACTAATGATCATTTTCCAATTCGAGATTTTATCGCATTCGCCAAATTGCGCGTTGCATCTTAAAAACAACAACAGCAACAACCATCGTTCTTCTTGTATGAACGTTATTGCTTTACTGCCGCTACTGCACACCACATCATTGGGTGTGTATGTGCAAGCTTAAGATTTTAAAATAACCAGGCCTTTGCACGACATGAAGAGAATTTTTTCTTCTTCTTCTTCTTCTTCTTCTTCTTCGGCTGTGTAGCTTCACATATGCAATATTTGCAATATATGCACTCACACACCGCTTTGAGATGAAGAAAGAAGAAAACCGAAACAGAAACGTACTTTTAGAATTTGTAAGTAAGTTTGTGGAGCGTATTTGTAATAGGGCTAGTGCGTACCACATTCGTTCGCACCAAAAATCGATAAATTCACATAATTTGCAATTAAAAGTCTCAAAAACACACATCACGAAACCACATCCATTATAGAATACCACATCCAATATAGAAAAAAAAAACGCGCATACGCATTTTAAGAGACGTGTGCCGTGCTCTCTGGCACTGTGGAATTTCGCATGAGCCAAACCAAAAAAAAAACGTAATAACGCGCACATTTCAATTTTCATCAAGCAATTAATTTAATATCATTGAATACAAATGTGGCACGGTAGCCGCCCATGAAACACACAATGCTACTGCAACAATTGAAACAATCAGATGGTGCAAAAAAAAAACTTGAGTGAAATGAAAAGTTCATTTGCGATGTACGCAGTGCAATGTGCATGTCGAATGACTTTGAAACAAAGCAAAGCCAACGAAAAAGAAGCAAGAAAAAAAAGTACAAATTAATTTATCACTTTTAACCGATATATTTATGCTGGTTTTTAAGTGAAAACACACATAAATTGCACACGTATAAAGTGCCCGAAGAAACCAACAACAAAGTGCCAGTAGTCCACGCGCCTAACAATGTTTGATGGTTTGATTGTTATTCTTGAGATGTTTTATTATCAACCATATTTTCACTCTCTGCACAACTAAGTACAAGTCGATGAAAAAAAGAAGAAGAAGAAAAAACTGCCACATTAAAATCAAATGGAACGAAAGAAGGTGGAAAATGAAAAAAAAGTAAAACTTTTTTTTCGTTTCATAGTGTATGCATGCATTTGAAATGAATATTCGTCGAGTCCGTCAACTTCTTTTGGCAAAAGCGAAAGAAATTAACAGAAAAATGGCTGTATAAAGCAATGACGAAAGAAAGAGAAAGAAAAACCAAATCATATATTCAACACCTTAATAAATAACAATTAAGCAGTTAATGCGCTCAAGAGTAAAAAAATAAAAACAACCATTTTTGGTGTAATAAACGAAAAGAAAAAAAATTGGGAATTTTGATATTCATTATTGCACTTACCATCGTCCCTCGTTGTCTTAAGACTCTTTGAGCATGTGCGTATCTTCAAAAAAAGTGCGTGCAACGCCAACCAGAGAGATAAGCCAAAAAAAACAACAATTTCGATGTACAATTGTAATCAGATGATGTTCTCGGTCCGATATCAATTGGAATGTCCGGAATGCAGATCGCAATCAGATATATCAATCTTTTGTTTGCTGTTGTTACTGCTGCCGCTGTCCATTTTCGATAAAAAAGATACAAAAAAAAGCGAAGAAAGAAAGAAATAAAAAAAAATCAACATCCACGCGGCCCAGTCACGATGGAACAGAATGAAAAGAAATGCAAAGTAACATTAATAATGATTCAACCGAAAAGATTAATTTGTGCCGTATGCTTTTATTTTGGCTTTTTGTGATTATTATTTTTTTTTTGCTTATTTTTAATGTTTTGTTTTGTTTCTTTTTTTTATTGGAAAAAGCTCTTTCGCAGCCAAATGCATCTGTAGTCAGCGTACAATCGAATTGGCCAGAGCATAGCAGCAGCAACAACAGCAGAAACAACAACACCGTATACATAGCTCACGCTCGTCTCTTTCAAACGAACGCGCGCGCGAGATCGAATCCAAAACCGCCGTGTGCCACGAAAATGAATGAATGTCTCGAGCGGGGGCAATATCTATATAAAACATAAGTACCAAGTAGAAAGTTATATCATTTTAGTGATTCAATCTCACTTGTGAGGTTGGTTTCGACGAAATTCGACTATTTTTCCCAAATCCATCGCACAACAACCCGAAAAAAATATCGATTCTGAAAAATCGTTTCGGGTGCAAATACATAACGTATAGTTTTTTTTTTTTTTTGAAAAATTAGTGGTTTGTGAAAATTGTTCAGAAAGAGAAAAAAAAGGGTACGAAATCAAGTGTTTCTTCTGTGACGTTGTTATTTTTTTTTTTTCAAATGTGCGAATATATACCGGTTCAATTTACTGGTTGTTTCGAAAAAGAATTTTTTTTTTCAAGTTGACGGTGATTTGAAATTGCTCGAATCGTTTTATTCCCTTCATTTTCATTGATTGCATTGTTCTTTTTTTCCTTCATTAACTGATTTGATTGTAAATTTTTCGATATTTCTGTTTTGCGGAACTTGAACATTTATCGCAACCATTTTGGGTTTGTTGAACATTTTTTTAGGCATTTTGAAAAAGAAAAAGTAGACAATTTGAGAAAACCGATTGGAAAATCCCGCCATATCAGATAACAGTGTGCATGCAGCTTTTATCCAATATGAGGTAAGAATCGAATTGAAGTGCAAATAATTTCTTTGTTAATTTTTTCTTCTCTTCAATAAGTCCACACAACATTTCTTCTAAATCATTACGGATCACTTCCTTCTCTCTGGCGATTGAATCACTTGAAATGTTTATCGGTTGTTTGTATTGTGTAAGTCGTCGATGTATTTGATGGAAGCACTTCGATCGATAAAAATCCACCAACAAACAGATGAGAGCGAAAAACAAAATCATACACAAATATCGCGTTGATATCGATGAAAATGGCAGAATATACATTTGATTAGATCGCCGGCGTGTTCACTGTTCAGGCCGCACACATATGATCTGCAATAATAATTATACAGTGCATAAATTTTCAATGGCATTTTGATTGCGGTTTGACTGACATTATGCGAAGTGAGTGTGCGCGTTCGCGCTCGATCACTTGAACAACCGATGGCGAACGCCGCACACCGCATATGATCATTATTACACAATGTGCCAATCACAATCTATCTCAATAGCGAGATTATTCATTAGATTCGTTTCTTTCACTCATCCATTTCCGGTGTGTTATGTACGCGCACATGCCTCACTCATGAGTCTATTGATTTTTGCTAACACCAATGGAGATAACGGATTTGGCATAATTAAACTGGAGCGAGCGTGAGCGCGAGTGCGCAATATGATCGACCAAGAGCGAGAGCGAGCGGAAAGATGAAAAAAAAAGAGAAGTAAACCCATACCAATGCTCCGTTTGATGCCCTCATAAAATTAATTTGTTATGCGACAAATATCACCAATGGAATGGCAATTAATGATTGTGAGCATGGTGAATGGGATAAAGTGTAATACGTACTCTTTCGATCCGATCCGATCCGATCCGATCACACACACACACTATCTCAAATTGCACAAAAAATCATCATTATACAATAACCATTGCACTTATCCGCATCGGTTAAGTGACTGATGCAAATTTATGTAAGTTTGGCGTCGTTTTTCTGCGAAAGTGAAGCAAACCCAAAAAAAGCAACAGCAACACCGAAGAAGAAAAGGAGAAAAAAGCATTGGCGAAAGAGTTCGTCGCACACACGAAAAAAAAAATAAACCAACAAAACGGAAATTCGCCATTTAATATAGTTCGAACGGTGTGTGACATGACAGAAGAAAAAAAAATTAACAAACAAACGGCTCATAGTTTTTCGGTATCTGGATCGAAAGTACAATTTAGAGCATCAATTATGATTTGGTTGCCAAACCAGTTCCTTTTGTGTTTCTTTTGATTTTTTATTTTTTTATTTTGTGTGTGTCTCCTCTCTTTCGAAATGCGTTTGCATTGTTCATCACCATCCTGGTACTTTGGCATAATCGCGAGTGAGCGCACATATTCATCGCGCCGAGGTGTATGTATGTTGTGTCAACGTAAGATCAAAGTGTTGCTTGCGACTGTTGTCATAATTACATATTATATGTTATCGTCATTTTTCATCCTATTTGTCAGTTGCCAAGTTTTAGAGTGTGTTTTTTTTTTATTTCTCTCATCGTTGTCGTCGTCATCGTATCCATTGACTTTTATTTTGAACAGTACTTAATGGCCTCAGTACCTTTTTCTCTCTGTCTCAGTGTTTGATTGCAATATTTTTTTTTGCAATTCGTCTCTCACGCCATTTCTCTTCTTGCCACTTAAAATAAGCGACTATTACACATTTTCAACGTTTATGGCGCGACGCGGTGGGCTTGTTATATCTACAATCAATTATTAACGCATATTCACACTTGACTTGAAAAGCAATTTGAACCATTTAATGATTATACACCGTTTGTTTTGTTGCTCGATTCAAATAGCTGGTGTGTGTGTGTGTGTGTCTCTCGTAAATGGTCAAACAAATCATGATCCATGGCAATAAAATAAAAGAGCCAATGGTACTTATACATATGTGTGTGTGATTTTAGAATGGCAATGCCGCAGATATACGGTGTGTGCGCTTTTTTTTCTCTTCCATTTATATATGGTCATATTCAACTTGATGAATGAGTGTGGTCAGAGCACAATTACATTTGATTCATCATCAATTGAATGGCGTAAACACATCGGTTTGAGTGAGCCTGCAAACAAGAGCTGGCGAACGAGCTGGTAAACGAACAAGAGCAATTGAATGTGCAAGTAAAGCCGTGTTCCAATTTTAGGCTTTGTACCTCCAAAAATGAATATCTATTAACATTTCGACATTTGATTGTTCGATTTGATTTTGCTGTTACTGTTGTTGTTGAATGCAAACGAGCTCCTCAGCCTTTTTGTTCATTCAATTTATGATCTATAACGAAAGATCAGATAAAAAAAATAATGCAAAACCTGGCAAACATATTTTGTGTATGCATGGTGCAGAAAAGAGAAGAAATAACAAACAAGACGCGCCGCATGATATTTAAAATGTATATCCTAGCGCATAAAATTCTCTGGGCGATGCATTCTCTCATCGGCTGCATTTACAGAGAGCCGCTCCAACTAAACCGAACTATTTGAGTATTTAACTCGAAACATATCGACTGAACGCGATCGGCTGAATGTATTTCCTATTTTCAATTGGAGGTGATGCAAACATCACCATCAACTTAGTGCCACACAAACAATTTTTTTCGAGCGTTTTTTTCTCTTCAATTCGTTCCATTTTTTTTTCTCTTTTTTTTCGCGGCACCAGTTTTTCACTTTTCTTACGGATTTTCTATTTCGAACATCACACTCGCCTAATTTATATACCAAGCGCGACACACTCTATGCCGCGATGGATAAAGAAAGTGCAATGTTGAGCGATTGGAAAGACGAAAAAAGCGTGCACACACACAGAATGTATGTCGGGCGAGAGAAAAAAAAAATCGGTTTGAGAAAAAATGAGACAAAAGAACAAAAGCACCATAGAAAGCCGCCATCTCTCGGGTTTGTGAATAATTCGCATACAATCGCATATTCAGTTCGCGATCGAGATCGCGCGCGCGCTGCACTAAAATTAATATGCATAAAAAGAAAATCGGTAGCAGCTGCGCGCATTGCGTTCCATCTGGGATTCAATCGCAGGCATATACTAGAGTGAGTGAGTGAGTGCTAAAACATTATGCACTTTCACTTGTTCACCGTCACATAGAGCACACACTTCAGTCAGTGAAGGCAAAAACAAAACACATACACACATACACACACACACACAACACCAAACCAAACAAAACAAATTAAATAACTCAACGCCGAAAATATCGAAGGTACGTGCGCGTGTGCTCGTGCCACTGGAAGATTAATAAACGTTGTCTAATTATTCCAATCAATTCGAAGCCGAAAACCATTTGATTTTCGCTTCTCTTTAACATTTTGTTTCAAGTAGATCTTGTTAATCGGATTAGTTGTTAATATAACACAAAATGAAAACAAAGCCAGTTCGTATGGTGAGTGTTCGAATGCATTTTCTTGTTGCCTCATCGTACTCAATCGCGGCTATTATGTGTATGCGGATCAATGGTCAAAATCACAAATGTTTTCGGATTGAATTAAAAATTGAGGTGCCTGTACAAAGGCACACACCATTTCCCATTTTGCCACCAATTCCACTTTTCGGGCGATCGAACTGATTATGTGCCATTGAAGTCTTTTCACTACGAATCACCATTTCGGAATCTAGTGTTGCTGTTACTGCTGCTGTTGCTGTCAAAAATATGTAGGTTTCGATCGCAGTCGCATTTTAAACCATGTTTCAAAGGCACACATGCTCAAAAAGACCAACAATTCAAATACACCGAAAAGTACAAATGGATTGACTTGAGTTGGTGCGTTTGATTTTTGTTTTTATTCGGTTCCAAAAAGTCAAAGTGATTTAGATTAATACCACAGCGATTTGGTTAACGGCATTTTCTATTTTGCCTCACAGTCAGAATTAACTTTGCATTGAACCCTCTGCACGCGCTTAGAAATAGCAAAAACGTAATTGAAAAATCAATATGATTTCGATCCGAAATGATCTCATTTTGAAGCACAGAGCATGTGCGAGCGCGAGCGCATTTGGGAGTGCACGTTTGACATGGATTCAACATGCGCGGGGCAATTTTTCATTGTGTCCGATTCAGATCTTTCAAAAGAAATCTTTCGACTACAGCATACACCAATTACAATTCAAACCTATAAATCGTACACATTTTTGTTTCTTTGATTTGGTATTTATTTCGTTGCTTTTTGGATTAGGTCATATTTTTTGATCAAAAGGAGAAAAAAATATCATTCAGTCTGGGTGCTTTGTGTGTTGCGAGTGCAAATCGATTTGCATACGCATTAATATCGTACAAGCCCAAAGAATTTCAACAATTTTCGAGCTACGCAATCGAAAAATGCCTGCAAGCCACACCAATCGTTTCGATTTTTCACCAATCGCACCAAATTGATCTGGAACCGACAGACTCCTACATATTTACGCCGATCGAGTTAATGCAATTATTTTATGGGTTCGGTATATGAATGATCATGAATTGATCGATAAAGTGAAAAAAAAACACATTAATACCTCGTCAACAACCGCATCCAATCCACACATTCAGTTAAACAGTGCTGACAAATCGGTTCCAAATGAAGCAGACAGAAGAGAAGGAAGAAAGAAAAAAACAAACCAAAATTTTAACGCATTTCTGCGTAATCAGAACCTGTTCAACGCATATTTCGTAACATCATCCAATTTTCATGGATCGCATTTTTGATTTGTTTTTTTTTGGGGTTTCTCTCTCGCCCTTCTATTTCACTGTATCGTTTTTTCCTGGAAATTTATTGGTCTAACTGTTGTTTGTTTGCTTCAAGAGAGATAAGTGAGAAATTGAAAGCGAATAAAAAAACAACACAAAATATATGGTTGAACACATCGTCTAACGAGATTTGACTTGATGTGTGTGTGTGTTTCTGATGCTGTACTTGGCTTCGGTATGTGCAGTGCACCGAAATAGGTGTTTTGATTTTAATTAGTTGATCTTTTTACGATGCAACCGCTACCGCTGAAAATGATAGAGATTGAAAATGAGAGAGAGAGAGAGAGAGAGAGAGAGAGAGAGAGAGTGAGCGAAAAAATTAGTGTTGCGATTGCAAAGGCACTTTTGAACATTTTTCGTTCCACTTTGTATGTGTGAATGTATTTTTTCTTTCATTAGCTCTAGCTCAATGCATCTTAATTGTATGTCAATTATTAAATCGTCAGCTAAAAATCTAGCCAACTAGCTGCTCGCTTGTATTACTCTCTCTCGTGTGGCGCTTTTTTTGGGTTGCTGCCGTGTGTTGCAAAAATCGGCAAAAATAGTCATTCGGAAAAATGCATGCAGACGAGAAAAGCGGAGAAAAGAAAAAAAAACATTTTTCGAATTTATTTACATCTGGTTTTCGTGACGCGTATTTTAAATACGACGCAATCATAATTCTCACGTGTGTACGCGCAACCAGTTATAGAAAATGAGAAATCACGACTGCATTTCAGTTTTGTTTTTATCTGAATTTTTTTTTTCGTCGTCGTCGCTGTATGTTGTGCTGCGAGTCAAGATTTTGAAGTAAAAATTAGTGCAAAATTATGTAATGACAACGGAAAAAAAGAGCGTATGTACAGCCATTCCGATTATGCACTTGCTCGGCATGGCTACTTGGCTCTATAGTGTGTCAGATGGTAAAAAGTCGTATCGAAATAAAGTCATTTTCGGTGGTGAAGTAGCGAACAGCAAAAAAAATCATTGGTAAACATTAAGCTAACGGAAAATTATGGTGTACAATAATAATATCAATGGGTTGTTTAGCTGTTTTTTTTTGGCTGTGTGTTGATATAGGATCTGCGTGCAATTTCGTTGAACGATGTACATGTGCATATTTTCCCTTCGCATTCAAAAATCGCGGTCGTTTAGCTAGTTACCAGATCTCTAACAATATCTAAACCCATAAGGTAATTAAGAACAAAAAAATGAAGTAAAGGCATAATTTTCAATCGCAAAATACACATAGACACAGCACATTAATGCGGTACTACTCATTTATCAGAGGAAGTAACTCAGTCCACCCCAAACTATAAACGCGCGTTTTGCGTTAAAGTCATTTGAACATAATTGCCGAGGCGCGCAAGACATCGACTGTGTGTGTACAGTGTACACAACCGCGCGAATTCGTCGAAAGCATTAAATAAGTGCTCGAGCAGCTAGATTGAACTGTAATTATTTGCGTAATGGAAGGGACTCATTAATTCGATCATATCGGCCATTTATATCATTTGCAAATGTTATAGGTCATTTTCGGTCGTTAAACACTTTGGTAAAATGTACTTTTAAACACTTGAAGTTTGAAAAAAACACACACACACACACATTTACATACCGCCCGCTCATTAGCTGATTCGATTACCAGGAATTACACATTCAAATCAATTCTTTAAACGAAAATTTCTGTTCCGACGAAGGAAGAAAAAACAACGCAAACAAACATAATGCATACGCATTCGATTCTAATGATTCAATCGAAAACACATTGAATAAAATTAGGTAAAATGTAGCAACAGCAACAGCAACAGCAGTCTTCATTCAGGTCTAAGGTCTTCGTCAAAGTGATTGCTTGCGTCATTGCGCCCGAAAATTTCCAGGAAATGTTATGTTCTGAGTTTTCTCTGGAAATGGCAATTGATCAGTTAACCATTTCTCTCTCACTCCCTCTCCCTCGTCTTTTTCCCTCTATTGATAGCGATGGTAGCAATTAAAGTATTAGAACAAAAGCAAATAGAAAACATAGTTTGAATGTGTTTCTTCCGTTCCCTGTCTTCATTCAGACTAAACCGAAAAAGCTGATTGAATGAAAAAATAAAAAAAAGGCACAGACACACCATTGCAGCACCATCATTTTCTGAGAATTGGAAATTGGAGAAAATTTGCTCATTCGCCGACAAGACAAAAACCAATTGAAAAATCATTAAAGACAATTGAAACCGAGACCGAATGTGAGTGTATGCAAACAAAAGGTGCGCGCACAACTGAAAATGAGAAAGTCTTAATGCGAAAATTATAGAAATTATTTATTGTTGAAATTTGTTGTGTGTATTTTTTTCTTCTGAACAGTGCGAAACTGTGAAGAAATCACATTGCGTTCGCTATTTTATTATTGTTTTTTTTTTCCTTGCGCTCTAAAGTCACTGTGATTCAATGAACGCATGAAAGATGTATTTCATCAGAACGCAGCCGATGTACCGTATAGATATCGCGTAGACTATTACAGACAGACATATGAAGACAGAAAGGAAAATAGATGAGCAAATCTACAGTCAGTCTATGGTTGGCATTGTGTTATGGTAACAAATATTGGGATGATTTGGATTTGAATTTGAATACAAACAACTGTCTGCATTCTCGGTGGAAAAACCACATACCAACACAATGGCAAAAGCTGAGAGATTTTTCTCGCCGTTTCGTTCGTCAAGTGCAGAAATAGCGTCAAGCTAAAATGCTAACAACAACAATGAATAACGATACGTTCCCAGTAGACTGGTTGTTTTGATGGAAAATCGATGTGAACAAAATGAAGAGAGAAACAAAAAACAAACACAGCCGACGAACAACAAAGAACAGTTATTGGGTTCATCAATCGAAATACACACATCGTTTGGTATCAATTGCATGCAAAAGAAAAACCTATTGTTGGACCGTTCAAGTGGATTGCCGATACGATAATAGACTAACACAATTGAACTTGAAACACATTTTTGTAGTGGTAATTTTTCGTTGATTTTCATACAGGTTGGCACAAGACGAGCAACAATCAAATGAAATTTGTTGCTTCACTTTGTGTTGTTGTTTATTTGATTGTAGTCGTTGCGGTTGCTTCTTTCGTATTTTTGCGAAGTGTAAACTTGAAATCTATACAAGGCACGCTCGCTTCATCGATGCGATGGAATGTCGCGACGATTTTCTTCGTTCACGGTGGGCGTTCATTGGACATGTTGCTGCCGCTGCTACTTTTTCTCTTCTTTCGTTAATGAGAGAGCCCGTGGTACATTGTTGTCGAGGCATTTCTTCGACCTCGAGTGGAATGCATTGCTCAATCAGTATACATTGCTTGCAGTGCTTCTCGATATTTTATTTTTCTCTTTCTTCTGCCTCTTCTTCTTCTGCTCCTGTTTCTCTCTATAGCTTCGTTTGCTGTTGCTGCTTTTTTTTCTTCTTCTTTTGTTTTATTGGAAAAATCGATCAGTCAGTCAATCAACTTCAATGATGCGTAAAGCTTTCATTAGATTCTCTTTCCTTTTGCATTCAATTTCATGCATTTCGATTGAATTTATCACCGTTTACATGCACTTACATGGGATTATGGACTAAATTTAGCAATTAATACCCGATAAAAACAAAGCACACAACAACAACAATAATGGTGCTAAAGAGATTTCTGCTTGAACGGAGAGCGATACATGCGCGCTAGCGTACAGAGAAGATAGATACAGTTGGTCATTTACATTGAATCACAATTTACGTTGGATTTTTGCTCACTCTTTTATTCAGCGCATGAATGGAGAAAGGAATGAATCTTAATTGAAAAATTTGCTCATGCATATTGCTCGCAGCACACCATAACTGTTCATTTAGAAAAGTTCAATAAAAGGAAATCGATTCAATTGAAAAAGAAAAAAAAAATTAACATCCGATTTGCTATTGCGTTTGTTGTTACAGATCGAAGCAAATCACAAGCTCAACGGTGTTACTGGTCATTGCACTAGTTACCGTGGTACGTGCACAATTCCATCATCCATCGCAATTTCGCAGTCAGGCTGTGGTCAACTCAGGATTTATTCCATCAATTCAACAAGAAGATGACGATAAATTGGACGATTCAACACCATCGGCCGCGATAAATTATCGCCAACCGGCACCATCCTATGAGTACGAAGAGGAGGAAGAGGAACGACCAACCACACCAAATCAAATTCGACGCCAACAATCCTATCCAATTCGATCACAACAGGCCCAACCATCACAAAATCGACAATCCGGTCCGCCACCGTCGAAAAATCGCTTCGAAGATGAATTAGAAACAGAAGAACCAGACCGTTTGGCATTGGCTTTGGAAAAATCCACATTCCAATGTGAAGGCAGAACAGGGTAAGCTGAAATAAGATTTGATCTCGAAAATAAACGAAGAAAAAAATGTGGATATGAATGAGAGCAATAGAAAAAGTTCAAATTGAAAAGAAGAAAATTAGAAATAGGGTGAAAAATCGAAAAATGAAAAGAAAATCGGTTGTTTAATCGAACCTATATCTAAAATGGGCCAAATTTTTCACAATTTCTTTGAACATTTTCAGATACTATGCTGACGAGAGTGTGAACTGCGAAGTGTTCCACTATTGTCAAGAGAATCAAAAACATTCATGGGTTTGCCCGGAAGGATTTCAATTCCATCAAGTGCATTTGATTTGTATGCCGCCATCAAATGACAATGCATGCCAACAATCATCCAAATATCATATTGTCAACGATTTCCTCTACAAGCCAATCAATGTTGAAGAGCACCAAACACGACCAAATGTCACCCTTCGATACTCGGAACGATACTATCCAGAAGATGTTTACCGTGATGAGCGACAAGAGGAAGACGATGAAGAAAATGAAGAATACCGTGCCCGCGAATACAGACAACGCCAACCGGTAAATATATGAAAATGTAAAAAAAGCGACATCGATCCGAAACAAAACCTGTGGAACAATGCTCAACTCTCATTTCCCTTTTTTATCGGTCAATAGATTCAAGTCGGAATTCGAAAGAGCATCCAAAATACCACCCCAACATATCAACGTCAAAGCACACAACAACCATCGGCATATCGATCACCCGATGACATAAACATTTCATTGCAACAACGTCGACCTCAAATCGTCTTCCAGCCAACGACACAACGCTACGACGAAGAAGACTACAATTATGAAAAGCGAAAATAAGTGAGCACGAGAGAAAAACCACACCATCCAACACCAACACCAACCCCAATCCAGAATTAAGCAATAAAGCGCATCAGAATAATTATAAAAATTTATTTACTTAAAAAAAAAAAAAAAAATGCATTTCCGTAAGCACTTTGCTCTTCGGCATAGCTCCCAACTGTTGGTCATGTCTATATCTCTTTCTATCTTTATCGTTTTCGGGGAAATCATCCGAGTTAATCTTACATAAACACACTTATATACTAAATCACAAATATATGCACGCTCTCTCGCATGCCGCGCATACACGATAAGGGTTTTCGAACGATAATAATGATCCATCCGTATCAGATCTGGATGATCCCATTTTCGTTTTTCTCTATGTATGGTTTTTTTTCGTTTCACAATTAGTTTTCTTTCATTTATTTAATACGAACAAACAAAAAACAAATCATATATTTCTATGTGTATGTAAACTGTTAATTAAGCGATAAAAAAACAAACAAAAAAAAACGACGTAAATAAAGTTGAACAATTAGTAAGATAAGATAATCGAAATGCGTTTTCATTTGCTTGTACTGTTTTAAGTCTTATTTATATGGTTGCACTTTATGTTAATCTTCTTCTTTTTTCTTCTGAAAAGAATTGGGGTCGTGACATTTCACTTGAGGACAAACAAACAGAGATTTCCAAGTGAATATGCACGCTCACATTTAATCACTAGCCATCACATGCAAATGATTCAATCATTAGTAAGATCACATGTGAGATGGCTCTGGGTGGAAATTGGCTTATTAGTATTGTGTATGCACTGATTGAAGATATTTGCAGAAGTTCATTAAAATCACACCGTTAAATACTCAACCAAAGTTCATAGCCATCATTTATATTTTCGTACTAGGCGAATCGTTCCACAATTTCTTTTCATGCAATGGTCGATTGGACCAATTGATCGATTTTTATGTCGATGTACTGTTAATTGCTTTTCCGCTGAAAAATCAGAGGTGAAAGAAACCAGGAATATTTTATAACGGTAAACATAATCTCGATTGATGATTTCTGAAAAATAAAAATCACTACTTTTGACTATTCACGCTTGGGGTCAAATGCATATTAAAATATTCCAACTAATGAAATAATTGGGGATTTATATTGAAAATGGCGTGTGGGAAATAGTGTTTTCCAAACGAACGATTGGGTCCAATTGGATTGGATTATTATCATTAGTCTTTATTTTAATGAAAGCGTCAAGAAGTGTATCGATTTCACATCGGTGTAGATTGACCATTTTTCCATAGTAATGGAGCAAAAAAAAAACGACCTTGCTCTAATCAGTTTTACAATTAAAAGTGTCACGCATTATTTCATTTCTTTTCTTTTGTTTTTTTTTTTTCTTGTTCAACGGAAACGAATAAGCGCCTGGGTTGTTTCCAAAAATCCATTACGGATTTATATTTTCATATCGCTTTCCATTAAATTTGCGATAAAGATAAGGGAATAAGACGCCGGATGCATGATAAGACACCATCCATAAAAGTGATTTTTTTTCTTTGGTTTACATATTCTTAAATGCAATCATATCGCATGTGGTCCCCACAATGATAACACAAAGATAAGAGCCAATTAAATTTCCCATAATAGTAACAGATAACGTTGGCAATTTCGCTGGTTGTATGCCGAAAGCGGCGCGATAATTTGAAATGTCTATGAATGGGATGCATGGAACGCATTCATCGAAGAAAACCGAACGTTCACCGTACATAGAAGCAATGTGCTAAAGCACTTGTTGGTCGCTTTTGTTGTGTGCCATTAAACGCACGCGCTGTGTGTGTGTTTCGGCGTTTGACAAGTTTTCCACTCTCTATCACCCATGTAACACACTGATACACACGAGGAGGTAGGTAGTCGGTGTAATACACATTTACAGCAAATGATAGAATAGAGTAGAAAAAACAACATAGCGTAGCTGGTGCTGGGTTTATGTAAACGTTGCCTTCGTTGATAAATCCATTCTGGTTGGTTTTGGCCGTGTAGTGGTTTGGCTTTTCAGCACACATATGTAAACGCGTGTCGTGTGAGCCTGAAATACCAGCAGAAAGCAAGCGAGCGAGAGCTCTCTCACACTGATATTTTTGTTACAGAGAAAAATATACATTAAAATAAAAACCCGTAGACAATTTCATAGAAAGAACCAACAACATCTCTAGTAGCCTGTTGTAGTCGTTGTAGTTTACTTTTTTTTATTGTTTTCTACTGCGAGCTATTTTCTTTTCCCATATTCAAAACAAATAGAATCGAAGAAAATTTATTCTCAAAATTCAAAACCAGTTAGCGAACATTGATTGTTCATAATAAAGTGAATGAGAAAAGACAGCACACCGTACTGTAAAATATGTGGATTGTGTGTAGAAAATTGAATTGATTCATAATACTTAGTGTGGGATAATCGAATAGAGGAACGAGAAAGGAAAAAAAAGAGGAGAACACACAACAGTATTTTAGAAAATTTGCATTCGTTAAAAACATTCGACGGCATATATCTCGTCGTCTGTGCGATGAGTGTTTTGAGATAGTTCGTGTTGTGTGCGCTTTGGATAAAGCAATTTCACTAATTATTGCTATCACCTGAATTATTCATACGGTTTCAAAGGCAAATTACAACAACATCCACAATATTGAAAGAAAAAAAAAAAAAAAATAAAAAATATAAAAAAAAAAAAAAAAAAAAACTAAAAACGAGAAAAACAACGAAGCAACAAAACGAAAGAGAAAAATTAAAACGAAATCAAATTGAACAGAAAATAAGAAAGAAATAAAATAAAAATTTGCATACATTCGCTTGATTTTTGGCACGCATTGGATGTGTTTGTGTGTATCGAGTGTTGCCTTTTTTTGGCGAATATTGGCGACGGGCACCAATTAATTCATGAATTAAATGGATTTCTCAATAAAAAAAAATATGATACAGAATGTGACGTATGATTCCAAGAAAAGTAAACAGTGAACATTGGATCGCATTCGTTGTCTGTGTGTGAGGTGAAAAAGTAAGTGTAAAGCAGCTACCTTGTTATAACGTATTATAGCTATATAGGCATCGTACGTTCGTTCAGCGAACACGCGTGTGTTGGCCGAGAGATAGAGTGAGAAAAAGAGTGTAACGAAGAAGAAGTGGCGAACGAAGAGCCATCGAAAGAGAACGAAAGACAGGGACAAGGCATATTCAACGAAACGACTGAGTTGTGTGTTTGTTGATTTTTCATTTTTATTATATTATACTTTTTTTTTATAATACGCAGCAAATAACGAGTCACATATTAATGGGCAACAACAATATCAGTGTGTGTAAAATACCAAGACCGTGCAGTGTTCCATGCGATGTGTGTTAACGTGCGAGAAACAATATTCAAGCGAAAAAGAAAAAATACCAAGAAAACAAGACTCACATTATTATTTCAATAGCAACGAATCGAAAAAGATAGAGTTACGCATCGCAGGACGAAAATAGGTGGATCATTTGAATGGTGTATTGGCCCAGGTTGCCAATTTCAAGGCGATTTTTGTTCTCGTCATTTGCCAATTTCAAAGCGCTGTTTGACTTCGATATGCAAACGGTTTCAACTGTCAAGAAAAGCAACGGCATAAAACCAAGTTTTTAATACGTCAATTAGTTGAATTAATTCGGACGATTTTAAATGAAGTTAAAACAAAAGAAGGAGCAAACAGAAACAGCGACGGTCACCACAAAAATTTGCTATCATTGATACTATGCACCTAAGATATCACCTTGAATTGATGATTGTGAATGCATATCGTTTCACTGGAAATACACAACAACAAATCGAAAGAGACTTGAATTTGAAGCCAGTTAGTCCATTCGTTCGAAAAAACCGATTCGGTGTTCTTTTTTTGTGTGTATGTTTTGGAATTCCGATGCACAGATTAGAAGCAGGAGAGTGCATATATATCCAACAAACACATGTGAGTGCCGGTTTTTGAGTAAAACCAAATACAGCTAAAAACCAACACAACAAACAAACGAGTAAACGAGCGATCGATGCAAGGCATAGAACGGAATGAAGAATTGATAAAAGAAAGCAAGCAACACAGAACACTAAGTGAGACGACGACGGGAAGGAAAGAGAAAACAAGCGGACCAGAAGAACGCTCAACACAAAACAGATAGCACGAAATAAACGACGCATATAAAAAAAACATATTCTCCGTTGTCGTCATCGGGCTGTTTTTCTGTTTATACATATACTATTCCCGTTTCGATAAGTCTCATTCATACACCCGGCCGTGTACCATTGCTTGAGCACACTGTGGCTCTGTGCACGGAGAACGACAAAGAGAGAAAGAGATTGAGAGAATTTGAGCGAAAAGAAAAATAAAAGAAGAGAGAAAACATAAAATAAAGTAACGAAAAGAAAACCAAGAGCATCCCAAGCCCAACACAACACAACACAATCAACATTGAAACGATACGAACCCAGCATAAAACGCAACAACCTCAAAGATATTTACACTTACTTCAATTTGATTAACATCTTCTCTGTTTTTTTTTTTTTTATTATTAACTCAAACATCATACACAAATACACATCATTCGTGAAGAATAGTGCACATAGCATCACCATAAGCAGAAGCAGCAGCATATTCATTCAATGCAAGTCCGTGGTCGAGTATATTGTGCATCCACGAAGATCCTCTCCATTATCTCGGCAGACGACCAGTACAAACAGTTTTGTATTTTTTTCGATGGTAGTTTTATTTTTGTTCATCATTGTTGTTACTTCGGCCGCTATTGAGTGTATATTTTGTGTACCAGTGCTCCGAAACCAGTGTATTTCTCTCTCTTTTTAAGAAGATTTTTGTCAGACCAAACATACACTCACACAAATATTAACAACACAATATAGTTTTGAAAAAGCAACAGGCAAAGCACAGTTTACAATCCAGAGAAATAACAATCCACACAACAACGAACGGCAAAACAACGAGAGAAGCGTAGAGAAACGAGAGAAGAGAGAAACAGACAGAAAAAAAACCAGGCGAGTAAAGTGAAGAGAAGCAGCAGCAAATAAACAAGACAAACAACGAAACATCCAAACTGAGAGACTGAGAGCAAAAGAGATAGAGAAGACGAGATCGACGAAAATACGAAAAAAAGAGAGAGAGAAGACGATTATGTTCGTAGCTAATTCTTAGAATCAAAACATTACCGTACATCAACCAAATACAATTTACAATACATGCACATTTTTACAAGGAAACTGAAGACAGCGCCGATTCAGTGCAAGCGAGAAAGCACCAGCACCGCACAACAGCACCACCAGCACCGAACATACGAACCAAATCTATAAAATTCATTAATAAAGCACACGGACTCTCTTATTTTGTTCAATTTGTTTTTCGCCTGATTTCTAAGTGGTTTTTTCCCCCTATCTCTCGATACGGCGAGTGTGAAAGTGTTATGAAAGAAAAAAATAATTAATCAAAATAGAAGAAGAAAAGAATCTAAAATAATAAAAATAACTGAGACAAAAAGAAAAAATAATATTGTAAGATCTAAAATAAACATCGAAATTTGTGAGTGTCGCAAGTGATATGTCAAACACACTCGAACAGTATGTGAATACACACATTGTAGAATTGAGTTAATTATTGAAAGATCACAAAAACAAATGATTATCAGTCCGTCAATTGACAAATGTATGCAACGAACGATTCAATCGGCACACATTAAGTTTAGTGACAGAATCGAGAATCTTGACTAGTAAACACGTTGTGTTCAAGTGTTTCAATACAAATGCAATGAACGATTTCATGAACGATTCAGAGTAAACAGTTGATCAACGTTTGATTGAATCAGCAGCAAAATTCCCGGAATTCGGTTTTACACATACAAAAAATAAGAAGAAAAAAATAAAACATACGCATTGTGTACACGGCGCCAAACACGTGAGTGAATTGAAACGGAGCAAAAAAGAAATAATCAACATTGAACAACAAATAAAGACGAAAAGAACCCAAGAAGAACTTTCTGTGTATTGAATTATTGATTAAGTGAAAATCCACGAAACAAGTGAAATGCCTGACCACAATGGGATCATCATCATCATCATCAAAGACGTGTGTACAAAATTGACAACCTTCAAATCCACGTAGAGATTTTGTTTTTCACCCTCGCTGCACCGAAACCCACTTACAGAAGTCTGACTATTTCTAATTTTATATCTATTTCATTTGAAAGAGAGAAAAAAAACAGTAAGTTTCAAAATTTATTCCCTTTTTTGTTGCTTATTAATTTTTATTGGAAAAAAAAATCCGTTCGAAAGAAAAGAAAAACGTTGTTATGCATGCAGATTCGTCATGAATTACGAGCAAAAAATATTTTGTCAAATTCGTAGTTTTATTTTCTCCTTTGTGTATATGATTGATGAGTGATTAACCATGAAACGATTGACCCAATCACATTTTTTGTGTATGATTTCAATGTAGAAGAAAGAGAGAGTGAAACACAAAAAGTGTAGATCCTTTCTTAGTATTTTGAATATATATAATTTGATGGAAATGTGGCATTGCATATGACATTTTCCAGTGATTGAAGAATTGCTTTCATGTCGGCACATTTCTTGCATTCATTGAATTTCCCATGAATTGCCTGCACAACTGCACGTTTTTCCTTGGCTGCAAAAACAAGCGCATACAAAAAAGAGAGAATGAAAAGTGAGAGAAAAAAAACAGAATGAAAGAAAGAACGTATTATCCGTGACCAAAAGCGTCGGGTGCGAAATGAGCGTGTTTGATTTGGTCTAACTCATCGATATATAGTCTTGCATCATCTATTGACCATTCTCTTAACGTTGAACGTACAAAAACGTGAACGGTGCAGGAAGGAAAAAAAATGGAGAGAAGAAAGACCAATTGCCTTTGAAAACACACGTTTTCTATTAAGTGAAGCCTGTTTTTGCTTCCGCTGCAAGTTCAACGTTATTGTTTATTTCAATATAATTCCGTTTGAGCTGGTTCCATCTCTCTCTATCTCGCACTCTATCTCTCGCCCTGTCTATATCTGTGTAATGTGGCCGATCACACATTGGATCTGGTCGACTAATATGGTGTTAAAGTGAAACACAAATTTCGCAGAATTTGGAATATCAAGTGATAGAAATGGCGGCAGACATGTCTTTCCATATAGCACAAATAATCGAACAAACGAACCACATACACTTACAATGCAGAGGTCACCCATCTTTTTCCATAACTATGTGTTTTTTTCTCTTCGTTTTGTTTTCGAAGTAGTTTTTTCTTTCTTCAATAAGGCATTTGGATTGAATTGCGCTCAATATAGATTCTAGCCAAATAGAAGTAAAATAATACTTATGATCACATTCACAGTTGTCACACAATTTCACTGGAGAATTGCTTGTGTGCTGTTGTTATGCAAATGATGTGAAGGCAGTGACTGTTGCTGTTTTTATTTCTCATCATTTTGCCATTTCAATATTAATTTAAAATTCAATTGAATTAGTGTGCCATGAACTTTTAATAAGGACCCTTATCGCTTCTAGCGTCTTCGAAATATATAAATTGCACGAAATTCAGCGTCAATTCTGAATACTGTGTGTTGTTCAACACTAGATAGATTCAAAATAAACAATTCCCGGAATCAAAACTGACGTACAGCTACGTAGAATCATAAAAATATAAGACCGACAAAAAGTACCGTCGTCACAACCGAAACAACGATAACCAGAATGAGCGTAATTAAAGCGCGCTGATGATGCTTTTTTTTAAACTGATGAAATTCAAAAACATTTTTCTTCGGTTTTTTGTTATTTTTTTCTCTCTATCATCTATCTTCTTTATCTTGGCAATATATTTTATTACGAAGTGGAAATGAATGCACTTCTTCTTGTGGTGAATTGAGTTCAGGTGGAATCACAGACACGGCTCTATGAGCCAATGCCATCATCGGGTGGATTTCACTTGATGAGCCAACACGAGCATTACATTCGATATAAGTTCATGGCACACGAATCATACATAATCAAATGGTTGTACGTAGGATTCTCGTTTCCTGCAACTTTGTATGCGCACTCGCACTCGCACTCGAGAAAACTTATTGCATTTGTAGATTGCGATTTAATAAATGAAAAAGTCTCATTTCACAAACACACACACACACACATACATACACAAGCATACAAGGTGGAGTGAAGACGTTGAACAGCACATTAAATGGAAAAAAATTCGTAGAAAATTTCAATTCTCGACATTTGCGTGTTGAATTGGCAAGCATTCATTTAATTATTTAGTCGTAAAAGATTTTAATTTTCGTCGAATGCATGTCAAACGCAACGAGGCAAGGAAACAAGAAGTAATGAAAGAAAAACAACGAGAATAAGGCGATAAACAATAACAGACCACTCGATTGGACTTGTACTTCACAAAAAATGTGTGTAGGATTGATTGAACTTTTCGGGAAGAATTAGGTGCATTTTCTTCCTTGAACCAAAACATCCATTTCATTAGCGTTTTGCAGGCGAATTGAGCATTGTAGATTCTCTGGAAAGGTGGATTTTTGTTCTCTTCTTTTTATTCTTTTTCTTCTTCTGTTGTTGAGCGGCAACAGACCATTATTGTACATGAATTTTGGTTTTGGCTCATGGTTTTTTGTAGATTTCTCTGGATTTCTATGTTCCTTCCACTGAAAGCTATTCATTGAATGCAGCCAGCTGCATATGGTGTCATGCATCTTTCCGGCATCGCTTCAGGTAGTGCTCCGAAAATTTTTTGTCGATCGTCGTCTTCGTCGTCATCATCATCGTTGTTGTGCTTGTTTTTCTATACTTTTTCGGTTGCTTCCACATTATGCTCAGTCGCATTAATACGCATTAGGTTTTTGTTGGTTCTTTTTATGTGTTTTCTTTTCATAATTTTTTTTTTGTTTTTGCCTATTCTCTTCACTTGATGTTCTCAGATATCCGAAGATCAACCATATGTAAGCCCTTGATGAATCCATTTCGTTTTTCTTTCGGTTTTTCTATTTTGTCTTGTTTCCCTTTAAAGTCGATTCGATGCGTAAAATACATACTTCCAGCTCAGGCTTATACCATACAGATAACGATGGCCGATTCAATTCCATTTTTCTCTTCTGGACTTCATTGTCGCTTTTGCAAATAACCGTACCGAATGGCCACAAATTTATCAATATACATGCATTGCACTCAACTTGAAAAGGTGAAACAGAAAGAAGATTTGTGAAAAATCGAAAAATCAAAAATGGATGCGCAATTATTTTAGACTAGAAAGAGAAGTAAAGAGCGAAAAGCGTTGATAAAAAAAAAAACATAAAAATTAATGGATACTAAGAAAACATCCTGATTCCCATAGAATTCAGGAGTCAGCCATATCATTCGCCAATTCAGTCCAAAATTCAATTTGGTTAATTGAGGCTGTGAGAATGATAATGGCAATACAGGAATAAACATTCTGAAACGCATCAAGAAAACAAATTCACAAAAATGAATCATGAGTTCTGAATATGCAAAAGTGAAACATAAATTTACATGGGCAGCATAGGAGGTTCATGGTTTACTTCTGCGTATTCAGAACTCATGATTCACTTTTGCGAATTTTTTTTTTCTTGATGCGCTTCAGAATGTTTATTCCTGTATTGCCATTTTCATTCTCACAGCCTCAATTGGGCTTCGTGTGTCTAACGATTGCGGGAACACAGAGCATTCAATTCAAAAACAAAGCAAATGCACGAATGCTCACGTTTTATTTACATAAAATCCGATTCCATGTCGAATCATCAAACCGATTCTCGCTCTGTTAAGTTCGATTTGAAATGAATTTTGTTTATATTTGGAAAATGCATTAAGTAAACCGCAATTAAAATGCAAATAAACAAATGTGTAGCGAGAGAAAATGATGAAATTCATATTCTTTCTGGAATATCAGCGATTCTCAATGAATTGAATCGCATTGGAAGCCATTTTGAATTCCGATACTTCTATTCATTCGTTTGAAAAACATCCACCATGATGCTTCGGTTTTTTTCGACGATTTTCAAGTAAATTCGAAAGGAGACAAGGAAAGCAAAGTCTCCATCAATTATCTCATTTTAGTGTGAGACTTTAAATTGGTGCGGATTAAAAGCTTCATTTCTGAAAATACCATCAAAACGATATTGAAATGAAACACACGTCGACATTCATGGATTAGAAATTCACGTCCCAATCAAATTTCATTTGAATACATTACATTACATTTCCCTCTCTTTCATCATCAAAGTGAAACTTGCACCTACAAACTGCGTATTATGTTACAATTGAATACATTGAAACGGTTTCCTTCGGTACGCACAAATCAGGGCATCGCTCTCGCCCTTGTTCATCATACGCATTTGAAAAGTATCAAATGATTTTGAAGACTATTTGATGATAATTACGGCATAAAACTTGCACCGAATTTTCCCGAGAATTTGCTTCCGTAAATAAAATGTATGTTGTATTAGATGATATGCGGAGCCGATGCGTTGTTAAGATGAAGAAGAGAAGAAGAAACAAAAATGCGGCGAAGAACCAGAGTAAAACAGGAAAACATAAAATATTACACGCTGTAATTAAAATTTAGACTGGAATTCAGTCGAATCAACATCATTTGAGCGTGAATAAGAACTTTTAGCTCTTTTCAAAGAACGACGATGACGATGACCTGGATCCTGAATGAAGGCATAGCATCATCATTGAATGCGAACGCTGTAAGAGTGAGCGGGCGCGAGAGAGAGAGAGAGAGATTCACATAATCCGCAGCATGTGTAATAACATTATGGCTGCGATTTTGTGCGTAGTCGGTTTTTCGCCTCCAAAAAAGCAGTCCGTTGTTTCGACTTGACAATTTCGTTTAACTAAAACTCTGGTGTAAATGGCTTCCAAGATGATGTTGGGAAATGTATTTTCTGGTAAGCAATGCGTAATTAAATCGTTGTTTCGTCTTATTGTGTGCTCACTCGCTCGATGACGACAGTGAGAAAGAAGTAGAACACTTTGAGCAAGTGTCTCCAGACGTAGACTTTGATGTGCGACTGGATTGCACGCATTTATTTATGCAATGAAGTGAGACGACAGCGAGTGGAGAGAGAGAGAGAGAGAGAGAGAGAGAAGAGAACGCGTTAAAATTAGCTGGAATTCAAAACCAATAAATACAAAACAGCTTGATCTTCTCGGTAAAAATGGCTTCGTTTCTCAACTGTT